TAGAAACAAGCCCTTGGAGTCCTCCCTTTTTTTCTGTTTCTTCTCTTTTACAACCCACTACAAATGACCATGTTAGGCATATACATTTTATTTAGTGGAGAGGCTTAACAAATAAAGTTCCTGAATTTTTAATTCATCACAAATTCAAGTTATGCTCAATGTAACAACTTTCAAATAGTAAGTAATGTCTTTTGGGTAAAATCTGGTCTGCTTGTTAATCCATTAATTGAGCATAAAATGCCACCTGAGTGCCAAGCACTGGGGAATTCAATGAGGCCAGTCCCTCACCTACCCCAGTGTATGAGTCTCTCCTTTCAACTTACTTGACCTCCCAGTCCAGTGTGCTCATTCAGTGCTTCCCAATACTCATCTATATTGGGAAGGCAATTCCCATGAACTTGTTGCACTTTAACCCCATATATACATTTTAGCAGAGCCATTTCTTGCCTTTTGCACGAGAATGGTGGTGGTGGTGGTGATGTGCCGTGGAGTTGGTTCCAACTCATAGTTACCCTGCATAGGGTTTCTGAGGCTATAAATCTTTACAGGAGCAGAAGGCCCCATCTTTCTCCCGTGGAACTGCTTGTAATTTTGAACTGCTGACTGTGAGATTAGCAACCCAACTCATAACTACTATGCTACCAGATTACGCCCCTAAAATCACTCTCTCTCTCTCGTTTTTTAATCATATTGTGACTTGAGTGAAGCATCAGTTTTACATTCAACAAACCATATACTTCATTTCAATGACTGCAGTCCCCCTTCCTCCCTGTAATTCTTTTTTTCCATTCTTCCTTCTTTCCCAGTCCTTCATATCTTTGTCCTTAGGTGATGCTACCCTTTCAATCTTGAATGGTTGACCATTTCATAGTGTACATACCTCACTAGTGTTGTCTCCCATTATACCTATCTATTGCTTGGCTGAAAATTGGGCCACAAGGATGAATTCACCTATTGTCTCTAATTTCTGAATATCAGGGACAGTCAGTGTTTCAGGAATGTAAATCTAAAATAGAAAACTGTAGTGGTGGTATGGGACCGTGTGAAGTAGAGGTTGTAATGGTTATGTGTGGTGGTATTTTTGAACGAGTTAATATTTGGGGATAATAACCAATGCCGATCACTGTTGGAGCAAGGAAAATATGATATATAGTTCTAAGATATATAT